GTAGAAGCCGATTGCTCGTACCAAAGTGAGTGTTTGACATTTACCTTTCATCTTTATTCATATATATATTAATTCCTAGACCTTCATTAGCTCTTTACCGATACTGTCCTTTAGTATTTATCCAATTTAGACTAAATAATCCCACATTAATTCGATACCGTAGGTTTCGGTTTACTCTTCGGTTGCACTGTGTAACAGTTAATGTAATATATACGTATTTCTGATCCAATTTGCAATCTTTTCGACACACCACGAGTTCAATAATACTTCATTTGTAACCTAACTATTCTTAACGTAGTGTAATTACTTAAAGTTTATGTTTATTTTCTGTTTCAGAGTTTCGGTTTGAAAGTACGCACTACCGACCTGAGCATCGCTGACTGCCTTCAAACAGAATTCGGCGGGAAATTGGTGAATTCTGGTAAGTTATTATAATATTTTAATTATGACAACAAAGTGACACTTCATTACGTATTTAGTAAAGTCTGAGTAAATTTAGTATCCTCTATAAACATGTTAACGGACATTTAATAAGTTATCTTTTGGATAAGTGACGAAATACATATATATTTTTGGCGTTATGTTTTTTCAGTGTTATATTCGCCGTTTAAACTGGAGTGATGCACATGTTGTTCCCGCCAAGTCGTATTACTCGTGCATATACCGCTCTGACCAATCAGCTACTCGGGATTTCCCGAAGATACCCGAATCAACCGCTCGGGACCGGCCGAATGTAACCGAAGTGTCATTCGTTTCGGAGAATTTGGCGGGATAAGATGTAGAAATCGCTAGCTCATGTCAAAGTGAGTGTTTGACATTTACCTTTCATGTTTATTCATATATATATTAATTCCTAGACCTTCATTAGCTCTTTACCGGTACTGTCCTTTAGTATTTATCCAATTTAGACTAAATAATCCCAAATTAATTCGATACCGTAGGTTTCGGTTTACTCTTCGGTTGCACTGTGTAACAGTTAATGTAATATATACGTATTTCTGATCCAATTTGCAATCTTTGCGACACACCACGAGTTCAATAATTCTTAATTTGTAACTTAACTATTCTTAACGTAGTGTAATTACTTAAAGTTTATGTTTATTTTCTGTTTCAGAGTCTCGGTTCGAAAGTACGTACTACCGTCTTGAGCATCGCTGACTGCCTTCAAACGGAATTCGGCGGGAAATTGGTGAATTCTGGTAAGTTATTATAATATTTTAATTATGACAACAAAGTGACACTTCATTATGTATTTTTATATTGTTTTTAACCGTAAGTGAAATAATCGTGATTTCGTGGTTTGTGCTAAGATCAAATGAGAATTTTTTGGAGCAATTTTTTCAATACATATTGTTATGTAGTTGAAGCATTCAAAATGGCTTCCTTGAATGTTACAAAATTTGAACAATACTTTGAGACATTCACATTGTATTAATATAGATTACAGATAATTTCTCGTGTCTTTCCATATGAGATTATTGTATTTGCATTTATATACAGTTTTTGGTGTAAATTTGATTAATACAAGCTGCATAGTTTATCATGCGTTTTATCAAAGCATACATAAATAATGCAACTTTGGTACTTGTAATGATTTTATGAATATGTAGAAAAGTGGGACATTGATTAAGGAAAAAAAACAAACATGATTGCAGCATAGTTATGTATTATGCTACAACGTAATTCATAAACATTACAAACTGAATAATTGTCGTGTTATAGTTATCAGTAATAATAATATTGAGTGTAACAAATTTGTCTTGTTTTTTTTTTCAGTTTCTTTAAATGTTGCATCACTGAACACTAAATCGGATATCCTGATGTGAAGTTCCACCAGCAAAGACTGTAAACCCTTCTATAATCGGGTGAGTCTTTGCGTGCCTTTTTTATTACTCCAGTCCCCAATTATGCCATAGGACAATTAGTCCAATGTGGCACAGGCAACTGATTATATATATGCTAAATTTGGGGAGTATAGTGAACGTGGGTATGCTATCATACCTTGGCAATGGCTTTGACAATAGGATCACCCGTGGGTTGTTCAATATGTAAAGTCAAATATCTTATTAAAGAATCATGATTAGTCTTTTTGTCTTTAAAAATGAATTTCCGTTAGGGTCTTTTTCTTAATGACTGAATTGTATTAAATTAATAAGTATCCAATCTTTGCTTTTCAATTGTTATTAATACAAATGTAAATCATTTTAATTACAAATTAAATGAGAAAGAATCAAAGAATATTAACCTGTTAAAAGAGTAGCAACTAATAATTTTTTTCGTTGGATTTTCAGGATAATGTCGTCCAGCAAAGCTCACATTCATCACCGAGTACTCAATTAGATGTCGTCGGGCGAAGCTTCACTTGATTCAACATTCTTGTATACGCAGCCCTTCTATCATCGGGTGAGTCGCATGCTTTTTTATTCCTCTGGTCCCCAATCATGCCGTAGGACGATAGGTCCGAAGCGGCACGGGAGACTGGTTGTATACGTGCTAAATTTGGCGAGTACAGTGAACGCGGATATGCAATCATATCCGCGAGTAGTAACATTGATCTGTTGTGTTCTTTAGCTAGGCTAGGGTCTTCTTGTATGCCATGTTTACAATTAGTAATGCAATTCATAAATATTTTATATTAAAAGTATATTTATGAGTTTAACTTTAAAAGTTTGATATAGAGGTGAATGTGATGCGAACGAAGTCACATTGCTTACTTATAATTTCAATGTCGTCGTCTGGTATCATTTATGAATGTACAATGAAATACGATTTACATAAGGAAATTTACAGAATATAGAAAATACAATAAATTCACAAGAGTCTACAACTACAGTCAGCTGGTACAAAAATAGTATTGAATTCATTAATGTGTAAAAGAAATGTAGATAATAGATTTGAATATAGAGTAGAAAGAACGGAACCATACCGGTATGTTTAAAATAGAGGGGAAAACATGGTGGTACCTTCTCAGATGAGAATGTTATAGCAGTTAGCGCAATACCACGAGACGCGACAGCACGTTTCAAAAACCGGAACCAGTGTCGCAAGACACAAAGGTATCATTCGTACTTGCAAGTTCCATAAATAGTGGAACACGTGTACTGGGAATCGCAATAAAGTATCGGTGCATAAAAAGAAGACGTATTAAGTTATGTCACCTGTGCATCGATATGCACGCCCTAGTGAAAAACCGCGTGTTATGGAACAATTTAACACGTTGTGCATGTATGACCATTGAAAAGTGCATTGCGATTTCCAGTTATCGTGGCCGGTGTTTTCGTTGCCACTGGCAAAGAACGCATACGGTTACGTACACGGGTAGACTACCGAGACGTACTGGCGTGTACTCACGACCACTTTCATGGAGTGTGAGCGTTAAATGCAGGGAAGGTACTACTGTGTTTCACCAGCATGTATTGTGTCCTACAAACATATTTGTATGGTAGACGTATATACTCAGAAGGAATGAGTATTCTGTCTTTTATAAAGGGCAGAGCAGAGGTGTCCATCTATTGCTTATGAGCAGCATTCTTTCCCTCCGGAGGTACCCTCATTATGGGTCTTAGTTTGACTCGTTCGAGTCAATCTGAGGTCGGTAGTGGAGGAAACCCACGAGGGGAGGCTCGAACAGCTTGTGGCTTGTGAGCGACATTTGAACACCTCTGTTATAAACTATATTTTTATGATAGTTACTTGTTGCATATTAAGAAAATTTGATTTTACCCATTAGTGTGTTAATTATTATTTTTAACAGTTGTGCTGTCACTTGTAGACAAAAAAGAAAATGAATGGAAGTTGAATGTATTCACTAATGTAATTAGTAATACTATTTTTACTACTTACTATTTTATAATTTGATTAATAAATGCAGGATTTAATATGATACCAGACTACTGCAAAGAAGTTTAAGATTAATACTTGTGAAGAATATATATTATCAGATTAACTATGCGTATTGAAATATATCAGAAATACGTACTTTCACGTTTCTCAAAGATAGTTATAAAAATTAAATAGTGCACTGGCATACACACAGATTGAGTTAGAACGTAACCTTTTGGACAAATGTGATATTACAGACCATGTACAAGAAGGCATTTCGCGACGGGTAGATTTCTGAATCAAAGTGACATGATTTGTTACATTTATGTTATCTGTCTTACATTGACTTTGACGACGGAATCGCCCGAGGGTTGTTCAATGTATAGAGTCAAATATCTTATTAGAGTAGAGTCTTTGTCGTTAAAAATGAATTTACATTAGAATGTTCTTACTTGTTAATACAAAGTCGAGTCATGGTTGTTGCAAATGAAGTGAGAACCAATGAGAACACATTAGACCGTTAGAAGAGCAGAAACTAATAATTGTTTTAGTCAGGATTTTCAGGATAATTATTCCGTGTTCGTTGCTCAAACCCTTTCACGTGCCCAGGTGCTACTTGATTGGGCGAGAGCAGCGGGGAACGATGATTTGATTTCATATATAATAACAGTAACATGTGTATGCGACTGGCAATGCGTTAACTTACCGTGCACGACGTATTTTCTACTTGTGTGTGTGGTTGTTAGGCAGTGGAATTGCGTCGGTTAGATTTCTATCAATTAACATTTCATGTGTCGTTGTTCCTTGGAACAATTTCTCACAATTCCGGTATCGGTCGTACATATACCATTGCTTTATATGATGCTTATAATAAAATTTTCATGGAATATGTACTGGTTTCGTGTCTCTCGCTATCAGACGAGAAAATTAACACATAATCGATATAAAGTATACCAAGTATACACATATTGTTTAAACAATTTTTTTATTCTCGCAATGGATGCTAGCCTTTGCCAGTCGATTTCAGGAAAATGGTACGTACCTATTAGAGTGTGCAAGTTGAATATCGCGCTCGGGTGTCGGAGACGTCCCGGGACGTTCTCCCTAGGTGTTCGCGGCTAATTTGCACCCGGGCGTATGCTTGAGAACCGTGGAGTGTTGTGTGTTGGTGAGAATCTGTCTTTTGCCAAATTCTTGTTAAATATAGGGCTAGGTAGGCAGGTAGCATATTTTCTGGTGTGTGAATGTCCGATTAGACTGTAAGTAGGTAGGGGCCGGGGCAGGCTATCACATTCTCTGATGGGGTACGCGCGCGTAGGTTTCGCGTGATAGTCCTGCTACCGGGATAATTTGTAGTGTCGATACGAAACTGGTCCAGACGGAGCATGCCGTCTGCTTGCGGTTTCGATTTCGATTCTTCAAATTAGTTCAATAGTTGTGTCGCGATCGCGGTCGGAACTATAGGATAGTCGAAACGCACGACCTGCTCGATTGCACATGTGGTACGATCATACAGACTCTTGGAGTCGTTGGTCGTCCACAACCGAGCAGCATGAGGGTTACAGGTGGGCGGACCGCCGAAGAAAAAGAAGAGGCCCAGCACAAACTGTGTACTCAAGAGGGCAGCAACGAATGGCTCTGCATCTTCGGATGTGGAGTCATTACTAAATATTTGTTCACTGTACTCGCCTGTATTTGTAGTAGTAGTTTGTATATTGGCCGTTATATCTGCCCAACAATCAGCAATATTGGGCAAAATCGTGGTTTCAATTAGTGTTGCGGATGACACGAGATCACGGTTTGTACGGAATTGTAAATTTTCAATATCATCAATTCATTGTGGTTGCTTAGAGAATAGTGTTGCGAAAAATCAGACCGTGTTTCCTTTAAGATTGTTTTTATATTTCAAAATAGTGTTGCGATAATGACTGAGCGCGATTGAAGTTATTATTTTTTTAATTAGTATTGCAATAGAGATTGGTTCGCGTCTGGCTTAGTCGTGCGATCTATCGGATGCCTAAAACCATTCCGGCACCATCGGAACCACAGAACAGTTGTGTTCCGTATTATGAGACCAAGGTGCACGGGAGTTTCTTTATTAGGTATTTAATAAAATAGTGTAGCGAACAACAAGCACCTTCCGCGTTTTTCAACATTCTCCCGACAAATTACTTATCTTAAACGATTAATGTTGCCTACCTTAAGAGTGGTACTTTTTTTTAGTAATTTTTCTCTTCCAGGAATCGTCGTGGGATTATATTTCTAATTTTATCAAAATAAATTATGTATAAAACCGTATTATTGTACCCTTTTATACTTACTATATGTTAATACTTTCTTTTAGTGTCCGTCTCACGAATCATAGTATGATCTACTTAAGCTTCGTTCACTTAAACTTAGGTCCAGATCTGAAGATATCTTTTCGTGTGAAGATCATCTCAACATTTGTTTTCCCTTGAAGATCATGAGAAGATTTTTGTTCGTCCGAAGATTACATGGAAATTCTTCCTCACGTAACGATCATCATTAGGCCGTGCGGACTTAAAAAATAACATGTTTCGTTGTACATACCGTAACCGAATGGTAGGCGGCGTTAGTGCGAGGGTGCTGACTTGCAGTCAAAGTAGCCTTCTAGAAATAAATCGTGACAATCGGTATTACACTCGATAAAGTATTGTAAAATTACCAAGCTATAATTACTTCACCTTGCTCGCGAGTTCTTTACACGGACTTAGTATACGGCGCTATGGCGTGTAGGTATACTAAGGTTGTTTACCGATCCCTCTAGATTCTCCGGAGGATTCAGACATCGGTCGCGTTTTACCTTCCCTGGCGTAGATGAATAGGTATATTTGGATTGAAGGATTTTCGTACTGTAACTTTTAATCGCTTTTCGGGAGTCTAGTGTATATATTTTTATTTGAATTTTTATTTTCATTTAAAATCTCTGTTGAGATTCATTTCTGCATTACAAGATGATATAAAATTTTAATTACATTACATATTCTCATTGAGTAAACTTATAACATAGTATGTTCATATATATCTACTGTAGTTTACACTTAATAATAGCTTGGTATTCGGTGCGTGAACGACATGATGTGTGGTAACTGAATTCCAATAATCCCCTTCGTTTGAACGTATGTTTCTGCGTTGCGATTAATTTAAGTTGTTGTGTGTCTGTGTGTGTTCGATGCGAGTCTACTAAGATTAAAGTCGATTATGATGAGACAAATTGTAAGAGGTTGATAGACGTAGAACTTGTCATTCCGTCTATCTTCCTCGGGTCTCCTTTCGCTGCAACCTCCACGTGGTGAGACCTGGGCAATCGGTATTCGATAAAGTTTCCCAAAACGCGGATAATACCTAGCCAGTGGCTGCGAACAAGCTATTATTAGTTCACTTTGCTCGCGAGTTCTCTACACAGACTTAGTATACAGGTCTGGTCACGTATATTATGCTCGCTTACCAATCCTTCTAGATTCGCTTGAGAGGAGGGTTTGTGCCCTATTGTAGAAATGATTTTTTGTCTCATCTTCTTCCTACGTGGATCCGTGTCCTCATGGTCATCTGTGTTCGTGGGAGGATGGTATGTGTTTTAAGGTGGCTCACGCAAACTTTTAATAATTATAGTTTTAGTTCAAAATTTGAAAGAACATTTTTAAAAGCTTCAAATTTCAATGGCTAACTGTGGTTAAAAACTTAGTTGGTTATAGACTTTTTTACGGAGGTTATGATGGCACGGAAAATAAGATATATTATCGATGAAATAAAATTAAAAATAAAGATTAAAGTATGTAAACTTGGGTTTCAATTCGTTTAGTAGTATGTACCTTCTATGCATGTCTGCTGTGATCGTTAACGTCACGTGTTTTTCTATTGTTTGTTCGACGGACTTTCTAATTTTTTCGTAAAAGGAAAACAAACCTCTGTTTTTTCCACTTATTTGTACATTTTTTCCATTTCAGTATTTTGAAGGTAGTTTAAAATATTAATCATTCAGATTAAATTGGTAAAATTAATAAAAAGTATAAAGTGTCATATGAAGCCCCAGTTAGATACGAAACCAAACGTATGAGTTACCTTAAGTGAGATGTACAATGTAATTCTTTGGACAATCGATGTACTCGGATATATAAATTTTTGTAATTCTTTGTTTATATATCAAGTTATTTATCATTTTCTGTTACATTCATATTCACATATGAACTTTGTCACACACTTTAGACAAATTTCTCAGATGGTGACTTCTGTCAGGAATAATGTGATCAATACTCAATACATTCTGCGCATCCGAATTATGATCAGTAATTTCTATATCCTGGTTTTTCGTTGGATTTTGGGAATACCGTTCCCCGTTCAGTCGTGAAATCTGTTTTTTCTCTGATTGTGGCACGGTTTCTAAAATTCGCGGTGACTTCCGGACAAAGAGGCGCGCCTTACAGACTACCAATACCACTACAATTATCATTAAGAACAGAATCACAGCTGTCAAGGCGCCTACTATCCATCCCAACTTTTCATCTGTAACACAAAATGCAAAATAAAGTTTATATAAACATCGAATTAAATGTAGTATATAATACGATTTCACGAACACTGTTAATTCAAAAGACTAATTTTGAAAACTAATTTCATTGAAGCTAATAATACATACGTACCACTTAAGCTATTCAGCAGAACAACAGACGCACTGCCCAATTCTTCGTCGCCATACTCGTTGGCTACTGTGAACTTACACAACCACTGACCCAAATCTGAATGATCGGGTTTGAATTGTAAGGTGCATATCCCTGTACCATAGTTCATCTGAATGCTATGCCTGGACATTGAAGAAAAAATACTTAAACACATTTAATTTTACAATTCTTGCACAGGAGTAATGAAATTACCTTCTGGTGCCGCTCGTGTTTTGATAAATGTGGATCTTTGGCGCATGAATCCAGTGGCATTGCACTTCCGATAGCACTGTTTTCACTTTACACGCTAGCGTGACTATTTGATGGGGCACAGCCCACAGCGCCACAGTCACTGGTTCTAAAAATCATCAATCCCTTTTGTAATCAATGCTCGTCTGCTGCCATTTTTCCTACCCAATCACCGAAAAAAGCGTTGAAGTCTCTTCATCGGTGCAGACCCCTCACAGGGAAACTCAGATCGACAGTTCGATGCCTGAGTTGTGCACAAGCGAATTTCGTGCAACACTGTTAAGAAATAATGAGATGTGAGTGTGTGTGAGAGTGTTCAGTGTACCGTGTGTACATATACAGCAAGAGCGGATTACTCACAATTTACTCCAATTTTTAGAGACTGTCGTAGTTGGAGACGATGATTGTCCTGTGCGTGATATTGTTTCAAATGCATACGTCTAAAATAATATTTTCGGTCTCTAAAAATGTGGTAGTCGTTGGACTATAGTAGGCTCAAACCAATTCGATGAAGTACCAGGGATAGTCCCTTAGCAGCCTTTAGTAATGCATCGCTTTTGTGTCTACCATAGATCCATTCAAGTAACGTCAGTCAGCAAGCACGTAACGATAAGCACTCACTATTAGATTAATGCACATAAATTGTCGCTTTGGGGCGGTTTAAATTTTGCAATGAGGGACAATTATATCCATGTAACGACGCTCAAACATGTTCACAGATTTCGTACATTGTACTACACATAGGCACCGACATAATAATTTAGTATCGAAGAAAATGGTAATGAGACAGAGCGTAATGAGGTTTTCGTATTACCATTTATTCAAAGTAATCGTTTACAATGCCGGAAGCTGACGCTCAACCGCGCAGGATGATAAGGGGGGGGGGAGGGACATACAAAATCTAGCCCGGAGTGCAGATTCTCGAATTCGTTCACTTTTGGGGAACTTAACAGTAATTCAATGGCACACGAGGATATTAATTAACGAAGCGTTCTAACGTTTGATTCATTGCACGCGTGTCGCGTCCCCATTAGCCGAATCCTTCGATCGACGACGCCACGATCGGAGGAGTCTCTTGCCATGGAAGTCGCGAGTACCACTTTGTGCCTTGCGCAAATTACGGTGATTTGCTTTTATATGCTGTCATTGATTCGCGTACGATGTCCGACCGAGCAACGGAAACGCTACACCGTCCAAGATGACGGTGGAACATCCTCATAAAGGGGATATGCTTAACAGTAAAAATTGTCTACTTAAATATTAATTTTAGTGTTCAGCTGGATATAATGAGTATATAATTAAGAATGTACCGTAATATTTCGAAAAATCCTGCCTTATTATGGACTTATCGCGAAACGATGGAACGTAACACGAAAACTATTTCGGTGTTCTTTCGGTTCATACTGGATTCATCCAGACGACTTCTGGTTTCGCGCAAGTACACGCGGGTTGTCGCCGATCGGCTGACTCGTTAGCAGCCCTCCGTCGGGTTCTAATTATTATTAGCACACGAGAGTCTCTTAAAGAATCTACTTTGCTTAACAAATAAATAGTCTTAATCTTAACGTTAAAGTTCCATGCGTGGTCCTCCCTTTTCTTCGTTTTTTGCCTTTTCGAATAATTACTAACTAATGCGTCTCGAATGTAGAGTTATGTATTACAAACGTGTGAACGCATTTTCCCGTTTCTGTGACGGCCCGCGAGAGAAAATTGTTCCGACGTTCGTCCACAAAATAGCCTGCAGACGAACCACCGTCGTCGCTTTGAAAAAACCTTCGGATCTCGTTTATCCACGTGAAACAATCAATCATTGTCGTTATCGTACACATGCTATTGAACTATAAAACCAAAAACCATTAGCAAAACATAAGAAAGATGACAGATAAGCCGTTTCACGATATGAATATTAATCTTCCCTATCGACATTTATCGCTCTTTTGCTCAGAGCCAAAATTTATCGTTTCGCGTGAAAAACAGTTACAGCAACGAAAATTATGACAAAACATATGTATGTATGTACATCGTGTATCTACGTTACGGATGGCCCATCGTGGTTGCATAAAATGGCGCACGAATCGCGCATAGGGTCGAAAATCATCGAATTTCGACGACGCGAGCGAGCGTTTTCTCAAAGCACGGGCCCGAACACTTTCCCCCGCCGACATACAGCGGTTTTCGACAATAAATAATACGAAGAATGACAAGAAACGCAGCCGAATCAGCCGCGGAAAGTATTATTACGTTGCGTTTAGCGCGTGGCTAAACGCGACTACTAACTATGCTAAATGCGAAATCATTTGAGCGTAGACCTGCCGTTGAGCATATAAATAAGAAAGGGTGAATGACATTGAGTGATAGATGTTATTTGACGAAAGGTGCGTGTTTTTTTTTGCGAAGCATGCTGTTGCGATCGCGGAGAATACGCTCGATAAGATCCTCTGTGGCGAGTACAGGAGGAGAGTCATTAGAGACACTGCATTCCTTTTGACGATGTATCCGATGTATAATGAAAGCGGACGTAATTATTAATCGCTGTTTAGTACCCGGACTCCGAGGCGTAACGATCGACGAGAAAACACGAGGGGGGAAAGAAAAAAACAATAACGGAGGCGGTAAATCATCGATGCATTAAAAGGATCGAATGCTAATAAATGCAAATGCGATTGGCATGGCAGATGCGCTACAACGAGCAAGGAATCTCAATTGTTTCTTTTTCTCTCTCTAACAATAAATGTAGCAGAATTTTTGATAGGAACAAAGATTATGAGGCATTTTGAATAAAATATCAGAATTAACGAAGAAAAAAAGTAATGAACAATTACACACGAATACACGAAAGAAAGGAACGTCTTGTTACCGGCAGAAATTGTCTCGAGCTTCGCGAAATCGTCGGAACGTACTATGCTTTTCCGTAACGTCCGTCTCCGCGACGTGGTCGACGACTGGTTCTCAAGAGATAGCGTTCAAGTTGTCACATACGCATCGATATGATAGTTGACACGGCATGCAAATTCCATCACCACAGCGATGCCTTCACCCCACAACAGTCTTCGAGGAACCTGGACGCGATTAACATTGAGTTTAGAGCGGCCCAAGAACCGTGAATCGATCGTCCAACGGTTACCACCTTTGCAACCGCGTCCTCCAATTGTACACACTAAAGCTCACGGCTACACCGACGAACATCATTGCACATTCCAAACGACATTTCCTTCGCTGGAATTCGTTTCAATGAGCTAATGTTCCGTAATCCGGGGGGATTTCGATCACAAACACCACCGTTCGTTGCACGGTCCATTGTGTATACTTTTGCGCGGGGTGAGTCACTTAACGATCGAGTATAAAATATCTTGATAGAATTGATCACTGTCCACAGTAAGAGTGGGGTCGAACTATTGCCAAACCGACCGAACAATCACGATAATTCCATCGTGGAATATATAACCGATAAGCACAACAAGCAATGATAACGTTCGAACGCGTGTATCATTGTATCATCGGAGTTACAAATATATGACGGTTTTTGTATATCGTTGTATAAACATTTACTGACGCACGCGACAATCTTTGAGAAAAAATGTCACGGTTCCGCTATAGAAAACAAAATGAAAGCAGTCCTTCGTTTGCTTCTAGACAACCTTCGGGAGGCAGTCGAGGACTCAAAAAAATAATAATAAAAGATCACCTTCTCAATGAGAAAAACGTCTCGACGCCATCGTACCTGTGACTCGGATAATTTACAAAATAATTTTCTATTCCCTCGCGACCGCAGTGACTCATCCTGAACAATAATACATATGCACGCATAAACCATATACGCTTACGCTGTACACTTCGTCAGGGATCTATGGCCGACCGTCGATTACGTGCCCACGTCTTCGGATGTCCTAGTGAGTTCGAAGCGGTCTCTCGACCGTACCGCGGGAGAGATCACGTCGGCCACAGATCCGGGGATCGATGACTGAATTAATGCTTTAACACCCTCACCGTGGTAGGAACAACACGTGAAACGCGGAATCCATCTCAAGTCTCGATGATACCTGGTTCCAGGAGGCTCAGCTTCGCGGGCGGCGCGTCCGTGTAATTTTGTCTGCCGCGTATCCTCGCGCCGCAGGTCCAGAGACCTTCCTGTTCGGCGAGAGCGTGGGTCAGCCGTACGCTGCAGTCCCTCGCCTCGGTTCCAACTGCTGGGAATTGCTTTACCACCACTGTGGTGTTCGAGTTCACCGGCGTCAAGGACCAACGGCACTGTTCTACCGCGGAGGAGGTCACGCAACGAAGGAGAACGGTACCACCGGATGATATTTGGATGTCCTGCGACAGCTCCGAGAACTTGACCTCGTCTGGAAAAGGATTTGCACGCGTGTCAGTACAGTGGTAACGTAAACAACAATTGCTGTTGATCGTTATTTTAATTTTTTTCCCCTTTCTATTTTCTGTGCTCTTTCTACAGTAGCCTCCATGACAGTTTCAAACTAGGGACCGCTTCAAAACTTTCGCGGTACATTGCGAATCGTTGCACTACCTCACAAACCTATTTTTTTGAATAATTAGGCAATAAATTATGCGCTTGACAGATTCTACGCCCCCCTCCCTCGCCCCCTCCCCTTTCAACCAACTTTCTATCCAACTCTCATGGAGCCTTTACTGTATTTGCATTCAACGTTGTACTATTCAAGGCTGTCGTATATTTTATGGCCGTTACTGGGGGAACGCGTTGCGTAAATAGCAACGAATAAAATACACAAACGGATTTGTTTGACATTCGCCTGCCGGGTACAGGTTTATTCTGACTCAACGACAACGAAGATCACTGTATTCCTCGGTATAAGATGCAAAGTACACACCGAAAAGTGTTTGTTATTTCGTTATTCCTATATTTTTATTCCATTTAACCCTCGAAAGGCGGACAATTTTAATACTGTGGATCCGTTTGGACATATATGTAAAATATTAGGGTTAGAGACTGTCTTCACCTAATATTTCAAATATATCATTAGGAACTTGTATACTATAAAAATCCCTATGAAAATCCTAGTTTGACAGTCGAGGTTCTTCCCTCGTGGATTTTTCAACAAATTTCTTCGCGGACTGGCTTTCTTTTTATTCGAATTAATATGACCAATTACAAACTTAAGTTAGTCACCGGAAACTATTCAGTAGGACGAAGTTCTTGAAAATTAGGGTCTAATTGACCCGAGGTCGTACGAGGGTTAAAATTACCCTGTATTCGCTCTCCGTGTCACGTCCATAAAGTTCGTTTTCCGGAGATTAATAAACTTACTCTTGTATCAAAGAACAGGCAGATATACGGACTAAAGGCGTGTATCTCCGAACAGTAATGGTTCTCATGAAGTATCAATCGTAAAGTGTTTTCCATTTGCATAGACTTTTCGGGGAAAGTGAGAAGAAAGAAACGAAGTTACCTTGTTCAAAAACAGTGAGCTTGGCGTAGGGGGACGACAGGACCGTGTTGAGAGAACTGATCGACACCTGGCAGGCCCACTGACCTTGTTTTTCGGCTTGCACGCGCGGCAGAGCGAGCGAGCAATCTCTACCAAGGTCGCCGTTGCTCGGGAATTCCTGAGCAACGACTTCTGGCTCGTTTCCGTGAAGCGGTTTCCAGGTCCACGTACATTTCTCGACGCGGCTGCTCGTTATGCATTTCAACGTGGCCTCCGTACCAATCGGCGCGGAAGTGTCCGTTGGCATTTCAACGAAGCTGACTTTGGCTGGAACAATCCAGAGAGAGAAAAAAAAAAGATAAACCGGCCGATTAAAGGCACGTTCTAGCAGGCAATTTGTTTCGCGACTCGTCTTTCGTCTTCCTAACAGGCAGATTTCCGTGAATTCTGCCAGATGTTTCGGCTCGATCGACAACAGACGTTCGAAGAAATCTATATCGAATTCAAGAGATTCCGTTCGCGGAATACAACGACCTCGCGGCATGTGGTCATTACGGCGCGTACACGGTGATTACCTGTTGGTAGGAGGCTGACCGTCGCTGGAGGCGCCTCGTGAAGAATTCCTTCCGGCGATAATCGTACGCCGCAAGTCCATAGGCCTTCTTCCTCGTACAGAATGTTCTTGAAGCGTACCGAACAGTCGTGGTCGGCGTCTTTGTTGGGATTGAACTTCTTCACCAACAAAGGCTCTTGGCTGGAGTTCGAGGCCTTCCAGGACCATTCGCATTGTACCACCGGCTTGTTCACCAGGCATCTGAGCAGTACCGATTCACTGGGGGCTACTTGAATTCCTCTGGACAGTTGAACAAACTCGACTACGGGATAAATTGTAATGATACTTTTTATTTTGGTGGAAAGTACATAAGGTTATCTTTTTGGATCTGGATTTTAAAGAATTCGAAGAATCTTCAGGAGATTTGAAAAAGTCTATGAGGTTTAAAAGGCTGTTGTTTTGTGTCTGATTTTACAATTGTGCGACAGTTTTCGACAGTTCTCTTCTCACCTTCCGATATCAGAAATCGAATGGGATTCGACTGCGTGAATGAGGAGTTCGGATTTATCCTCGCGCCGCATGTCCAATATCCCTCTTGCTCAGGCAACACATTCTTGAACTTGATGCTGCAGTCCGTGCTGTCGTTACCAAAAGCCGGGAACCGTTTCACCTCGAGATTCCACGGTTGCGATTGGTTCAATTGCCGCCAGGACCATTGACACTCACGGACGGGTGACTTCATCTGGCACATTATTTGCGCCGAGGATCCTGCTGGTACCTCGACGACGTTATCATATTTTGCAAACGCCACCAGGTGACCTAGAAAACATGTAAAATATTACTGTCGAAACATCTTGTCGTTATACGGATGGCTCGTTAAAAAATTGACTTGACACTACGAATATGTTTTTGTGGAAAATTGAATCTACACGAATTTGTTTGAGACCTTCATGAATTTGTTATTCATAATGAATAACAACGGAAAAAAATGATCAATCGGTCGATTGCACTGAATGTCATTCGATCTTGAATCAGAGGGACAGAAGAGACAATGAACATTCCGTACCTTGTTTCTCATTGACGATGCTCAGCTTGGCAGGTTCTGTACTGGTGAAAGGATCATTCGTGGAAGTTCTCGCGGCGCAGGTCCAGTATCCGGTCTGCTCGTGCTTCGTACTCGAGAATCTTACGGAACAGTCGTTGCTATTGTTCCCGAAGGCAGGAAATTGTCGTACCGGCAACGGATTGGTAGTCGGCGTAGTTGTCGTCTGAATCACCGAGACCGTGGTGGCTATAAATTACAAGCGGACATCGATAAATACGCGACACGCGAGCACTGTAGAAAATATTCGATCTACATACATACATATGTATCTAAAGAAATAGGTCCAAGTTGCTCCAATTATGCGCAATAGAAAGAAACGAAGGGACTGTTAACTAATTAAATTGCTCGTTTTCGTTGAAATTGTTAATGTCATATGAATATTTAAATAATTTCGTATCTTTTTAAATATCTGAGTTCGTGATGCATTTTCCAGTGAATATCATGAATGCTTGAAATTTGTATCATTCGAGGTTTAAAGGACAGAACTAATGTCAAGCAGAGTTCAAGCTGCTCGCTCAAGAATGCAATAAATATCGAGTGTCTTCGGAGGAATTTATAGAAGGTCGTGTAAATTCTACCCTTTCATCCCCAGACGTAAGGTCAATGTTTAGCTAAATTCTACCAGGGGTGGGTGTATTTCTATTTGACATTAGAACCCTCCTTGCTTAAACGTCTGGTTTCAGGGTATGACAGACACTTACATCCTTTTTCTACATATCCATTGCTAGCGATAGATAGACTAAGCTTTCATACAGTTTTAATAATCATTTTAATTATCTCTTTTCATCGCGTATTTATCAAATTCTGTAAACTTTATATTCGTGCACAATTTTCTTTGATTTTAACACTTCTCTATCGGTACATCTGCTATCAGCGTTAGGTAATACAAATGTGTCTTGTCCCTTTTGGATCAATATATAATTTATATGATGCAGTGATGTCATATCATCATTATTATTTTATGAAACAACTTGTACAAACTTCGAATAGAAGAATAATAGCGATTTACTAACGCGTCGAACTCGCTGGGCTTTCACTGATGTCCGGAAGCGGCAGATGAACTGGCGGTAATGGCTGCCAGGACCATTGGCACTCGGCCACAGGATTAGAGGTTCTGCATGCAAGAAGCACCGACGAGCCGAGTTCCGTTTCCGTGTGCTCGGGAACGTCCACGAATATCACCGGATTAAGGGGCGCCTTCGTTCCCGGCAGAATGTCGTCCATCGAGTGACCCTGAATTTCGGGCTCGTCGGTGACGATCGAATTGCCAATGACCGGTTTAACCGTGGTGGCATCGTCGGACTCCTCTGTCACTGGCACACCTGTGAACATATTATAACACCGTTGTTTACGATCTTAATTACGACGATCATCGAGGACAGACAATAGAAAGTCCTTCCTCTTCTCTACGAACCGCTTGTAAGAATTCCTACTAGGGAAATCAGAATGCGCTCTGTTTAAACAACATTGTTGCATCACGGGCCCACTGAACGTGGTCGAGAATTCCAGAAGTATCCCGAAATCCGCAACAAGTGTATCCATAATGCGATCACGTTCCTCTAAATTGCCAACCGGCCTTCCATAAAAAAGTTCTTCGAAATATCTCCGAATTGGAGACTCCATCGATTTGAAATGCCGAATACGTGCTACGAGGGGGGGGGGGGGAAGGGCGTTAAAAACCTTCCGTTCATGTTTTAATTTGGAGGGTTCTACGTTTGGAGAAAAGCTTATGAGCAATTAGGGCATATGAATGTCAACTGAATAAAGTTGATACTTTTGGAAGCTTCTGATAAGTTTGGGATATGTGTATCTGTCAACTGTGGATCTGCCTTTAACTCGTTGAACTACACCATGATCCGAAGGAACTTAGCTGAACATATATGTAGGACACATCGGGCAGGAAGCTACAACAGTCACGTAGACAATCGCCTTGCGTCGCGCGTCTGTCACCATGTGCAAATAGACACAGGGACGGATCGGTAATAAAATATTTGTAAAAAAGAGAGGGTGTACCACTAGGGAAAAATTAAAATTGAAACATATTTTCCCGTTTGCGGGCGTACAGATCCTTTATTTCCGCGGTGTGTTTACAGATTCATCAACGAGAAAGACCGCGCAGAGCGCGTCTTTTGCTACATTGCAGTGTTACATAATCACATTGTTACAAAGTTGCATAACAGAAAAGATAATTACCCTTTCATTAAAAGATTTTTCATTCGGAACCGGTGGTTCCATTGAGTATTTTTCTTTCAATGATACTGTCGTCATACCCGTATATTCTACCGGAAGTTACAGTTTTAGAATTCTATATCTCGTCACAGCTACTCGATTGTTACTATTTTGTAGAACGAAATGGTCTTTCAAGATATTCGTGCATTGTTTAATATTCACTATCGAGTATAATCAATTACATCAGACATTTCTCCGTTGCCTTACAGTATTTGTATCCTTATAAGGTTTACTTCTTAAAATATCCTTCGATCAAGGACTGACAATACTTTATTCTACTCATAAACGACTAGGTATGTCTTCGGTGAAATGAAATATTAAATTTTCCTGTAATGGCTATCGTTTACTAAATTGAACACCGAACAAAAAGCTTTCATTTACTTCAAAATTAATGTTCAGGTATACAAATTTCTGTTCACCTTTCGAACTGTGGACGTTACTGTGACGAGCCATCGCGTTCGAATTTCACTGAATGAAAGATCGACCACCGCGTGCACTGTGCTCCACACTTTCTACGTGGCCGGTATGTAATATGTGTCCGCCGAACTTGGGTCCTTGGTATTGTCTCGTAATGTTGTTCGCCATCCACCCGTATCCGTGGCCCCGTCTGAGGACGAGCAAAGTGGTCGCTGACACTGGAAGGTCGTTTCCACTTTACATTGACACACTCAATCGGCTCGTGGTTTTATGGTGATACGTGCTGCCCGCTCCCGGCATATGTACACCGGTAGTAGTCGGGGTTACAATTTTGCCTTTTCACGTGACTGAATTAACTGCGCGTGATTAGCTGCCCAACGTCGATCCCCAAATCTGCGTCAGATGACGCAGCCTTTTTTGGATCACTCAATACTTTATATAAGTATTTTTCTGTAGCTAATACAAGATCCCTGATCAAGATAGATCTTACCTTTCGGCGGAACATGTGTTGCTACATTCTTTTTTTAGTATTTTATAGCAAAGTCGAGGAGCCAATATTTATATAAAATGTTAGTTCTACTGTTCGACCTTCGAAATTTTAAATATACGAATCAAGATTCTGCGATAGTAGGGATCAATGCTGCCTGACTATAAAATCACGGGATACCACTAGAAAGCACCTAGTTCCTCGTTTCTTATTTCTTCCAGGTATTTAATAGACTTTTCGCAGGAATCCCCTGCCCACATTTGCTTACACCATTGGCGTGATCCGCATTTTAAAATGACGCTCGGAACTGTGACACGAACTGGCCGGCATCCTTCGTCGTTTGACTTCACGCGGTATACATACACCGTGCCATGAGAATTATTGCATAAGGTGGTATCGTGTGCGCAGGTGTTACCGTTTGATATATTAATAAACACGTCGAAATACTGTCTGGCCGAGCCCCATCGTGTGTGCAGTTTTTCTATTAATTTCTTCTCGCTCATTTGGAGCGGAAACAGGAGGAACTTATACGCGAGGGAACGAAATGAAAAAATGTTTCTAAAAGGGAACGCGTCGAATGGAAAATTGAAAGGAAAAATAGGGATTCATTGCGATCTAAATCACGGTATACTCATTCAGGCAGCCCAAGGCCGCCGTTTACTTTCTTATACTTTCTTACTTTCTTCGTCGTGTCCTTGATACACCGCCACGTAATTTTCGATTGTTGCCCGACGCGATTCACCGACGTTTCCGATTAATTTTCACGGAACGACATTGTGTAGAGTATCAGTATTTTATAAAAGCATTCGAAATGGTTTCAGGACCTATAAAACCTTTCGAGACTTCGATATCTATCATGATTTTCTAGACTTCCAAGACATTCAGGACATATCAAATCCGTAACGCCTCAAGATTAATCAAGGTTCCAGATGTTTCGAGACTTATCGAGAGTGTTAAGTATGGAATAATCATGTTCGAAGTGATTCGAATTTTTCGCCACGTGTTACCTACATGTTCGAAGCTCTTCAGAACCCGCCACTAGGGTCGGCTATTTCTGTGCCGTAATATGCACACCGGGGTCCGCGTCTTTTCGTTCGATCGGTCGTCCAATGGGCGATCAGCCGCAGGTGGTCCCCGTTTAATCGAAACTTTGGTATTTCGAGTATTCGAGCCGGTAGGCCACATCCCGGATGTATCTTCCACGGGCCTAGCCGTGACTAATTCCACAACAATGGAATCCCATCCCGAGATTGTCGACCGTGGTGGCAAGGCCAGCGGTTTCTCGTGCCGCGACCAGAGGCGAAAGAGGAATGAAAAAGGAGGATCACCGGTTGTACTCGCGATACAGGGAGGATATATACCTATTTCGATCCGTGATTAAGAGTTGCTCGATAGGAGCGCGGTCGTTAACCCACGATCGATGTCTCACATGGAACAATTAGAGACTGGCCGATTTCTTTTCCCACGTAGTGATGTTGTGAAATTCAAAATGCGTCGATTGGGCGTTGCCTGTCTCTTCGCTTTGGCGGACGTAAGAAGTGGCCCGGGTCCGATGGGTTTTTGTATGGTCGAAGGTATCCAATCAGAATGTTGAGGGGAATGACTGGCGAAGAATGATCTTTTGCCAGGTATTTAGAGGTGTTTAGAGAGGATGGTCGACAGAAATGAACAGTGCTGGAACTGTTAAGCATACTAGAAGGAATTCAGGTGACGTTTCGTGATCTACAGTGAACGAGCATAAGCGTTGGGCCATTCGATATCTTTGTAATATATATTTTACCCATTATCTATTATCATATAGATATAAGTGGCAGTAAGAATTCTAGGGATATTCACCTTTTCAATTTGTGAGGTCTATAGCTTCTTGTACGAATAATTATGCGTATGTCATATCGTCCCACTCAAAGTGTAAATTGAAATAATCTGTCTCCAGGTGATATAGCCATTTCTTGGTCATTTAGTGGCCGCTAACACGCTAAACTCTCGATCGTGTATAGTCGTATAAGGAACTTCATTTACAAATTAATGAATCGATTCCCGGGCACGCGTTCAGTGTGACTTTCTTGTTTCAAGGAGGTTTTATCGGCGCCTATAGGCAAGCGTGTTCTGCTTGTAAATAACGAATTATACGTAGCCTTAAATTATTTCAATCGATTTTAAACAGCTTTAAATTATCGCAAGATTCTCGTGTCGGCGATTCTTTTAAACGATCGAAAACATTCGCGACACGATCGCGTAGCAATTATTCACCTGTGTCGCACATGTTAGATTCAGACGTCCCATTTATCTTTTCTAGCGTGAAACCAATTCCCAATTCCCGCGAGAGAAAGAGAGAGCGAGAGACAAATGTAAGTCACTTGGTCGGTGTATTTTTACTCCGATTCGTCTTCTGTTTGCGTATGGAATTTGTGTCGCATCTGTGACTCGCGAATACCATATTTTGCTGAACAATATTTCTCCTAGTAATTATATATTTGGCGAATGTCCATAAATAATCGTTTCGAACGAGTCCAACGACGCTGCGAATTGGCCCACGTCTGCGATGGCGATGTGTCACTCAATGGTAATCTCTCCTTGGATTCATAAATCGTTCGAATCGTACCGCGTTCAATTCAATTTTGAGCGATTAATGGTGACAAATTAACGGAGCGTTACACGCTTGTTGCCGTTGCACCTGAGTCACAGTTCTTTTTAGACGGTGCACAACGACTGCTACGTGTCTTATCTTTACGCGTAATTCCATGCAGAGGACGCGAAATAACTGCGGCCACGCAAACACAGCTGTCACTGGGAAAACTTGGGAAAGAACGCGGCCACTAGCATAGCTTGTGGGCTCGATTCTTTCGCCGTTACGTTGTCGCGACGCGACTTGTGACGTCAAGTATCATTTTTCGAGAATACTTCTTTTCTCGCTGGATCTCCACTACGAAGAAGACAGATCTCTCGTTCGAGGCATCGATCTCTGCGGGCTAGACTTCTCGGAAAGGTTTCGAATCCGTCCCCGAAACAGATTCCCGAAGAATCTGGGAAGAAAGTATCTCATAGATAAAAAAAGACCGAGAGATATATGTTCTTCCACAACGACCGACGAGCTGGTTGGTTGCGAGTGTGTTGGGTATTCCCCTTCGAAGAAGAATTAGACTTTTCTTCCATTTTATGTTTTCAGGTCACACGAACGTTCGTAGATTA